GGCAAGGTATTAAGCATTTTTTAAAAAGGCATGCAGCAATAACATAGGAGGTGAGATAAAGATAATCCCCTTTGATAAGTGTGATAATGAGTGTTTTTTTAATTGAAAATCTATACCGAGTCTTAATAATATGTCCCACTACATGCTCTAATCTTTATCTGCAAGCAGAAACTGTCCAGGAACTCGAAACAGAATAAGTGAGCTCTAGACTGTTAAATCATCAATAACCCAATATTTTTTCCTTGACTAGTTAGCCTTTGCCTGGGTTTTTTAGACCTGGGGCTTTTTAGGGAGGAAGAGAGACATTATTTGTTTTACATCTGAAACTGGTTTATATCTGCCTGTAGCCAGCCTAGAGACATCCAAATCCCTTTTGTCTGTGAGTGGATTGGAAATAAATCTGGGTGATGAACCCGATAGCTACATCATCGCACTGCACATCTTCTCGTTTTTATGAAAGTGCCTCTATTATGTCATTTTTTGCAAGATGAGAAGGAAAAATGGTCATCATTGCTTCTTTCCTCCTGGGTACTATAAACATTTTTTATTAAGGTAAGAAAAATTACAGTATCAGAGAAGAGAACCATCCCCCCACTATTGCTGACCAAGTATCTTTACTTCCTTATTGAATTTATTGAACTTCCTTTTCCTGTGGCCATTGCCTTTATGGAATCTTTAGATAATACTAATATTTCAGTCAAGAGTAAACCCACTGGTAACACTTTCTGCAGGTATTTTATCCCCTTTGTGATTATTTTGGATAGAATTTGTGTAGAATTCTATAGTACAGAGAGCCAGGAAAACTCTAATAAGAATCCTCAATTTGTCATTCACTTGATTTTTTACCTTTAGCAGGTTGGTTAAACTCAATGAGCCACAGTCACCTCATTTGTAACATGTGGTGATGTGAGTAATAGTATCAGGATAATGTAAAGATAATATATTGAAGATGCTAGTAGATAATAAATAATAAACTATGTAGCAGACACCTAGTGCAGTTAAAAAATCATGCTTTGGGGCTACTCAGTCCTTTTAGGAGAGGATTATTAATTGTACAAGTCACTTCTCACTGTTCGGCCTTCTTCCCCTCCATAAAATGGGTAAATATTAATCCTTATTGTGGATGAGGAATATGCAGCTCCTACCTGCCAGTGTCAGTGATGCAACGTTTCCATCTTGCTTGTATATTGGTTAAGTTTTCAGTAATTGCCTTTTTTACATACCCAATTTATCTAAGATTATTTTCTTGCGCTCCAGGTTTTTCATCTGGATTTTATTACCCCTTTTATAGACTTTTTGTTTTAACAATAACCATAAGATCAAAGTGCACCTTACATCCCACGTGTTTTCCTCTTAAGAATCGAATAACATATGTGTAAGAAGCATTTTTAAAGGTCAGCCATAAATTATTGTTGCTCTTCTTTATTCCTTTAATTCAGTAGGTAAGTCCAAGGCAAAGTAAAAGGAACCCACTGGACAATCTATTGCAGCTAGGAAACAATTTTCTATGAGTGAGCAAGTGTAATTCTCATCTGAGCTTGGGAGATGAAAAGTCTGTGATTATGCTCTGCCAGCTGGTTAAAGCAGTATGTTGACAGCAGGTAGCCCTGGGTTTAAATTGCAGCTTTACCACTTTTCAGTATTTGCAAATAATTTTTGTAATTTACCAACTCTACTTCTCATTTTTTATCTGTAAAATCCCTAATAATTGGTGAAATGTATATGTAAAACAACTGGTAGAAAGATTAAAAATAGACTTTATCTTGAACACATGCTGTGAATGTTTGACTTGAGATTGGGCAGGGCATTGTGTTAAAACTTCTGTGAGTCTGAGGGAGAAAAACTCCTGCATGCCCAAATGTATAGAATAAGACTAGTAGTAAATATAAATCAGACATCTGTCCCCTGTCACTTGCTACCCTACTTTGTAGCACATAATTTATGATTGTTGTTGACGTAATTTGTTAATATATGCTAGATGATAAAATTAAATTTTGTAAGAGCCAAGTGTGGTGACACATGCCTGTAATCCTAGCACTTGGGAGACTGAGGCAGGAGGATCACTGTGAATTTGAGACCAGCGTCGGCTACATAGTGAGTTCCAGGTCAGTCTCAACTACACAGTGAGACCCTGTCTCAAAGAGCAAAATAAATTTAAAAAAAAAAGATGCCATGGATATTGCCCAAGAAGGTTGGTTTGTATCAATTTTTGTATGTTTACCATGATTACATTATATTATTCATAGCCCTTTAATAGTTTCACATTTCACAAGCTTTACAAATAAGTTATTTATGAGTTTTTACTGAATGGCGTGGACCATCCACTAATTATTTAGCAAATTAATTTTCTTTTAAATTAGGTTTATTAAATGACCTATTTTTGACAAGGAAATAATAGCACTAGTACTTTCTAAAATGATTTTTATTTTGTTTGTTTGTTTGTTTGTTTTTGGTACTGGGAATCGAACTCGGGTCCTTGTTTTTGCAAGGCAGGCAGCGGAACCACTGAGCTAAATCCTCGGCCCCTGAAATGATTTTTAGATATTAACAACTTAAATGCAGTAAAGATTTGAATTGTAATCTGGATTTAGGGCTCTCTAATAATCTTTTTCTGTACTTTCAACCTATTATTTAAAAAATCATTTAATTATTTTATCAACAAGAAATGGAAGCTATAGTACATGTATTAGTTATATTTGCTTTCAAAATTTGACTATAAGCTCTTACAGAGCCAAAGTAGAATTTCAGATTGACTCTAAATAGGACACATTAGGCAAGATCATCTTTCCTCCAGCTTTGTTACCCATTTTATAGATAAGCATTTAGATTCAATTTATCACTAACCTTTTTAAAGCATCAATACTGTAGTATTTTGGTATCCTTTCGGTATGAAAATCATATGTAATATTAGTGTGAAGAAAAGTTTTGCTTTTTCTAAGAAAACATACATGTTAAATTTGGCAATATTTATTCGACATATCCCCCCATTTAAAAAAATCTGGCAGCTTATCAGCTTTACAATGATAGCAATTAAAAACAAGAAAATTATTACAGAATTTTGGAAGATTTAGACAAATTAGTTTGTAACTTGTCATTCTCATAACAACAAGCATACTTTTTATATTCTATTCCAGTTTTTTGTCTTTATTCCTGTGCTTTTTTTTATTTTACAAAAAAGAAACAATTTCATAATAAAATAATAAGAGCATAGAAATAATTACTACACTGTGGATTACTGTCTTCATCGTAGCCACCTAGAACAAAATACAACCATCTTTAAAATGCAAGTATGTTTTGTATTCTATAGGAAAATGTTTTTCCCAGCTATCATTTTTATAATGTTTAAGTAATATTCTTAAAACTAGTAATACATACAATATACTTGAGTGAATAACATAAATTTAAAAAAATATTACCTATTATTTGTCACCAACGTTGTTTTACTGAAATGCCAAGCAAAGGGCATTCAAAGCATCAGGAGACAAATCAGTATCATTCATCAGTTATATTTATATTGACTTTGCTAAGCTAATAAAAACAGTATGATTTAAAAAAAAAGCGAACAAGTTCTTTGAAGTAAAAAATACACCACCAGTGTGTGATACATTTAGAAAAAGCCTCTGACCCCCAAGAGGAAAGTCTTTCATGTTATAATTAGTTAAGTTGTAAAAGTCTGTCTGGAAAATAGCGCAAGTTACCAGTCTGGGTCCTGGTCTGAGAAACTGAATACTATCTACATTTGAGGCACTTATTAAACTATTAATATTCAAGTTAATATTTAACTTAAATACATTCTCATCTTAAAATAGTTTTTTTTTAATCTTTGAAAACTTTTCCATATTCCATTATAATAGATGATAATAAGCAGGCAACTGATTGTTTTGGACTTTATTTTTATTTTCTTGTTGGGTTCTTGATTTAGTAACTAAACTATATAACTTGATTGTAATGATGAATGGCTGAAAGTTCTCAGGCTAGCTTTATACCCTGTCAAAGCAGTTTGTCTGATAATTGTCATACATTCATCAGATTTTTCCAAATGAAACTAAAATTTTTCTTTTCTTTTTTTCTTTTTTTGGTGCCAGGGATTGAACTCAGGACCTTGTGCTTGTGAGACAGGCAGTGGAACTACTGAGCTAAATCCTCAGCCCTTTATTTACTTATTAACACAAAATACAAGTGATTCACGCAGAGTTATTTAATCCAAATCCATTTGTAACTCGTATGTTTAACTTTACTTGAGTTTCTAAAGTAATGAAAGAATGTGAATAAAAAGGAATAAACAATTATACAGAAGAATCAACTTATCCCTGAGAAAATAAATGGTGACAGAGGGGCTGTGCTTAAGATTTAGATGTCCCTAGGTTGAAAATCAAAGCCATACTGTTTTCCAAATGTTTAATATTTCCTATTGTACTTTACTTTTGGGACACAAGGTTTTCCATCTATAAAATGAAAATCATGATAACATTTTGGGAAATCAGAATGAGGAAATGAATGAAAGAACTCCTTGAGGTATCTGAAGTCTTATAGTATATAAACATTAGGATGAGGGCGCTGTTGCACATGCTGTGGGATAGCAGTAGCCTCGAGTTGTTTGTCATAGATTGTATTGTAATTTTATGTTTATTGCCAGGGATTTGGCTCATTGGTTCTGCCGCCTGCCTCACAAGCACAAGGGCCTGAGTTTGATCCCCGGTCCAAAAACAAAAAGCCAAACAAAATTTATGTTTATTTTAACATGTATATAATAACAGAATTTAGGGATATTTATGGATACCATGGAATGTTTTGGTGCTCATAAATATTGTGTAATATTTAAATCAGGTTAAATATACCTATCTCCTCAAACAGTAGTTATTTCTTAATCATGAAAATTTTCAAAACTTCTTGTAAAGTTTTACAGAAACATATGGAAGGAAGGAAAAACTCTTGCATTACAATCCAAATGACAGAAGAGAACTTGTAGCCTTAGTTTGAGCTCACGATTTTCTTTCCAGGTGAAGCGTATATGCGAATGAGCAAGCTCCCCGAAGCAGAGCATTGGTATATGGAGTCCCTGAGATCCAAAACGGACCACATCCCTGCTCATCTCACCTATGGCAAGTTGCTAGCTCTCACGGTGAGTACCCACCTCTCTCCTTCCCAAAGACTTAGATTTTCTCCATGCACTTTGGGATAGCAGGTGTTTGAGGCTACCAGTTGTGAGCCAATTAACTCAGGTAACTTAATGGTCGTACTGTGAGAACCCTGTGCATAAAATAAAGAAAAAAGTATTTTACTTTGCTTATGGAATTTGGCCAGGAACAAATGCATGTCATGATCCTTGATATAACGTAATGAAAAATATAAATGGAGAACCCCAAATGTGTGATTAGATAATAGTTGTCCGGATAGCAATATTTAATAAGTAGTGTGTTTCATAAGCCAGTGTTATCCACAAATCAGTTATAATTTGAACTAAGTCTGATTCTGACAAATAACCTTGGAATTCTTTCTAATTTAAATCATGCTGCAAGGTAAGTGGAATGCTACCCTGGCCACCCACTCGGTGACAAATGCTATTGGAGACCAGTTTCTTGAAAATCTTTTTACTGTGAGACACAAAAAATTGTGCCTATATTCTTTGTGACCTACAAAAATGGTGATTTTATAAAGTATTTTAAAGTGATATTAATGTCTATCTGAAATAGTAGAGTATGGCAAAAAAATTAACTTTCTGAGCTCACACATTTAATAAACACTACAAGACTTAAATCCCAATGTCTGTGTACTTACACTAATAAATCTCTCTCCAATAGCAACAAAAATAAATGATCATTAGCAAATCAGAGAACACATGATCAAAAAGGTGATGCTTTAAGTGAATTCGTTGACAAATGCCTTAGAATGATTTCAGAAAAATGTCTTATTTATATATCTATTCAATGATTTAACTAAACAGTGCTTAAAAATTTTTGTTAGGCCAAGCAACCTGAAAATAATTTCACTCAGAAATACCTAGATTTGTCTAACAAAATATAGCTGGTGATGCTTTTAATGCTCAGCTATGCTCAGAAAGTTGTGGGATAGTCCCTAGGAACTAAGAATAACGTGTTAACTAAATATCAGAACATTGAGGAGTTGGCCAATTCTGCAGCTCATTTGGATCATTTACCAGTTGTAAAAGCTGGTGAAAAGGGTTTGATTTGTTTTTATTTTTTTCTTGATTAAGAGGCAAAACTTTCAGCCACTGGAAGGCCAAAACTTGATGCTTAAATAAAGCTGAGGAATTCCTGTCCTTAGTATCTGGATAACATAAGTTTGTCTACTTTCACAGAAGGAAGGAACATGTGACCATGTTAGAATGGCATCTGGGATAGAGAATGAGTGTATTCTCTGCCGTGCATTTTTTTTGAAAACTTGGATTCTTTTTTTTTTTTTTCTCTCTCTCTTTTTTTTTAACTTTAAGTTTTGAATTTGCCTGACCAGGGAATTTTTAGGCCAAGAAATTAAGTAAAAATCAGTCCACCCTTATGAATATATTTTTTCAAAGAACACAAATGTAGCCTGGCTTGGTAATATACGTGTGTAATCCCAGCACTCTGAGAGGCTGAGTAAAGAGGAGCTCAAGTTCAGTACCAGCCTGGACAACTTAATGACTTAGCGAGACCAGTAAAATATCCCTAAATGTGTGTATGTGTGTGTGGTGGTTGCGGGGGGGATATAGTTTATTGAATAGCCCTTGGTTTCAATTTAGTACCAAAAGAATAAAATAACATATTTAGGAATGACTATGGTACAAAGAGAATGGTGGACAAAGAAATTGATCGTGGAGGTGAATCAGAATGTCTTCACAGAATAAAATATTGAGGAAGAATAACTATACAAAAACACTCAGAGTAGGAGCTTGTACTTCAGTGGACAGGATATTTCAAGGGGTTTTGGAAGAACAGAAAGCAGTGGAAGTGTTATAACTCATTTGTCAGAGAACAGGAAACTGCAGTGTCAAGGTGCTTTCTTTGGAATCGATAACACTGAAAAATTCAACTTAGTCCAAAGCGTGAAGGATCAAGCTTGGTCTTTTAGTGGTGATGATGATAAGCAGTAGTATAACCTTTAAGGAGTGAGGCCTCTTCCATGGTAGTTAGGTCTTGGGGTTGTCACCCTCAGAAGGTACTTAGATCACGCGGACAGCACCATCCGACAGTGTTGGTGCTGGTCTTGCAGAGTGAGTTTTTGTGAGAGCAAGCCATCAAAAGAGCAGCCTGACCTCTAAGTCTCTTGGCTTCCTATCCTCCCATATGCCCTGCTTTTCTTCTCATGCTGTCACCATGGTGCCATCTGCCATGGTGTAGTTAGAACACACTCACCAGAGCCAAGAGGATGCTCATGCCGTGTTTTTGAATCTCTAGAACTGTGAGCTAAATAAGCTTCATTTTAAATAAGTAACCGAGCTTCTGGTATTATGTTATAGCAACAGAAAATGGATTAAGATGGGGAATGAAAATCTTCTTGTGGAGTATTCAGATCCTTGAGATTCCTCCACAACTTTCTGTAGCATAATAGCAAAACAGGATTCAGATCCTTCCCCCATTGTATACCTTTTTCCCTCATACCTTATTTCCAAAGAAATTGCTGAGTTCTTATCTAAAGAAACTAAGTTATTCTAGGGAAAATATTTCCATATATTTAAATTTAAGGATCTCTTATAAATCAATGGCTCCTTGAAGAATATGCCTTAGGAACTTCACTCACCTTTTTTAAAGCTTAAATATCAGTAGGCACCATAGGATTATCAGTCCTATTAGGCAAGCCTCAACTGTAGGATGGGGATAGGAAACAAATTATTGGAAGTAAATATGAAGAAGCCTTCAAAAGAATAATAATCCTTACAGATGGTACCATACAATATTTCATGAAGCAGGATGTCAGAAAAAATTATAATACTGAGGAAAAACGACAGATTTTAGAAATTAAAATATGATAACACACAGTTTTCACTGAAGAACAAGAAGGTAAAGATAAAAAAATCTCATTTACTAACACGAAAACAGGGAAATAAAAAGCATGAAAGAAGAAAATTTAAAATAAGTCAATATGGAGTCCAACAAAAGAAAGAGGGAAGGAGAACATTACTCAAAATCAAAAGGTACAAGTTGCCGTTTGTGCCATTTTGAAAACCAATTCATATCCTGATAGGATGATAATTCACATAAAAATAGAATTCATGTTCCTCTCGCTCCAACACTGAGATTTTCTCAGGGAGTTCAAATGGAAATGTTTTGAGTTAGATTGCTAAGTGACCACCTTCAGAAATAACTATAAAAGTTACAGATGCCCAATTCATTCCCCCTAAAAGCTGGAAAAGAAAATTTAGCCATAAATGTATATAATTGTGAATATGCCTAAATCATGACATTGGATATCGAAACCATGGGTCCTTATTTTTTTCTTTTTGATTTTCAAGGCTGAATATTTTTAACTTTCTAAACCAAAGAATATAATTTTAAAGCCTTCTTTATTCTTTTCAGGATGCTTTTAAAAAACCCAAGATTTATAAGTTTTACTTTACAGAAACTTCCTTTATAGAAGGAAGGAAAAACTCATGTATTACAATCCAACTTTTAAATTTTCCCCCACAAAGACTTTTATAGTTTCCGACTTGCTGATTAGATGAAATACAAGGAATGGCTTAAACTTACAGTGCCAAAACCCCATAACCATCTATAACAGTTTCTTTCTAAATTATAAGATTTGGCAAATTTCTGATCCCAGCGGATTGGTTTTGAGTAATTGTGGGTTTCTTAGCCTGGTAATACGCCATTGACTTAGCATAGAATTAACAAGGCGGAAAGTGTCACAGATTTTGACTTCTGAATATTTAAAATATATTGTGAAATGGAATTGGTTTCTAGTCTCAAGAGAAGAGTTTACCTTTTTGTCAAACTGACCAAATGAAAATTATATAAAAATAACATGCAGTGATGTCTGATTTAGATAGTATGGAAAGAGTTTGTTTACAAATTCTAGTAAGAAATTGATTATTAAAACTTTTGTTACAGTCGGTGGCATGATTCTCTCAATGCCTTTTTTTAAAACACGTTTTTATTTAAGAATTCATGTAATATTTATAGTATTTAGAAAAGTGTAAAAGGATTTAAATTTCCCCAGAATGCTTTGACACATTCTATAGATCATAGCCTTTCTGTTCCTCTGCCAAAAATGTCCTTTTCCTTTTTCTGCCTGTTGAAATTTTATTTCCTCTGTGAAGTCTTGCCTGGCTCTCTCAAGCATTTTTTCCCCTTTCTCTGTACTTCCTTAGCCCGGCTCTCACTATGTCTATAATAGCACTTCCCAGCTGAATGGCACGCATAAATCTTTGCCCATCCTTTGACACTACACATGCCACTAAGGCGAACTCTTTTTCACTGCCTTGATAAAAATCCCTGTATCCTTATATATTTTTCTGTTTTAAATTATTTAATGTTTGGAGACAAGAGTAATATTTTTATTTCCCTAGTCGGATTCTCATTTTTATCCCTCATCTTCTCGACATACGTATTTATATTTACTCCTCCATACTAAGTGTTATTTTTTTTTTTAATTTTGTTGTTGTTTTTTGAGACAGGGTCCCACTATGTAGTTGAGACTAACCTGGAACTCACTTTGTAGCCCAGTCTGGTCTTGAACTCACAGTGATCCTCCTGCCTCAGCCTTCTGAGTGCTGGGATTACAGGCATGCACCACCACGCCCAGCATCTAAGTGTTATTTTAATCCTTAATGATCTGTGCTGAATTGCTGAATGAAATGAGGCTTGACTATCAAGTGGTTGTAGAGTAATCTTACAGATTACCAGAAGGAGAGGTAGGCTCAAGTGCAATGTTGATCTTTTGAGTCCCTGTTTTGTATGTGTTAATTCATAGGAGCTGCACACCACTTGGGAAATATTATCTCCTTTTTTTAAATGAAAAAAAATGAGCTTCAGAAATTTAAGGAACACCCCAAAATTCACTTAGCAATTAAAGAGTAGAGTTAAATTTTCTTGAATTGTCATTAATTTTCATTCTGCATTAAAGAATTTTAAGTGTGGAATTTTTTTCCAGTTGGCATGCCTGATTGAACTGATTACAGATTCTTAA